CACACACACACACACACACACACACACACACACACAGTTTGCATTGTTTTAACTCTGCCTTTCCATTTATGTTTATTTATTTATTCATTTATTAGACACATTTATATGCCGCCCAATCCCGAAGGACTATGTTAGGACGATGTTAGGAGGAAAATGGTTAGAAAAGCTAATGCACAAAAGGAAACTGGGTTGGAAGAGGCACTAAAAGCAATTTAATAAGTAGAAAGACAGGGAGAGGAGGGAGGAGAGATGGAACTGGTGCTGGGACTAAATGGAGAGTAATAGGGCTTTATCAAGAAACAATTAGGCCAGGCCAACCTGTCTCCCTTTTCTGATAAAATGACTGGTTTAAGCCATCATGGAACAACCGTTGACTTACCTGAACGGTCCTTCTATGTGCGCTGTGAGGGGAATCCAAGCATGGGTTAATTTTGTCCATTAGCCTAGAGACTAAGTTATGCAAATTGCTGGCCACGCCTCCTCTGACTGGACTGGTTCAGTTTTGTACGAAGGATCAGCCAATTCGAGAGAAGCAAAAGGAAGTCTAGAAGTCAAGGTAAGTCAGGATGTCATAGGAAAACATGGAAGTCCAGGCCCAGGACAGCCGAAACCAAGGGAGGTTTTGGAATCCCCTCCCAGCGCATATAGAAGGACCGTTCAGGTAAGTCAACGGTTGTTCTCCTGTGCGCTGCTTGAGGAATCCAAGCATGGGACATGCCAAAGCAATAGACTTCAAGGGCTGGAGCGAGGCTGGTCTGGTGCCCTAGCCGAAGAAGCTACCCTTTGCAGCACGCGCCATCCAACGTCCACCTTGTAGTGGCGGATAAAGGGTGACACCGATGACCAGGTCGCTGCCCTGCAGATGTCTTCCACCAAGGCTTGTGTTGCCCAGGCCGCCGTCGTGGCTGCACTCTTGGTAGAATGGGGTGTGATGCAACTGGAAACCGGTCAGGACTGACAGTCGTAGGCAAGGACAATACACGCCTTCAACCAGCAGCTGATAGTGTGGGACGATGCCTTTTGCCCCATGGTGCCTGGTTGGAAAGACACGAACAGGGCCTCCATCCTTCTGAACAATGCCGTGGTCACACGTGAACAACGGACATCGAGGTGATGCCAACGCCGTTACTGGGGGGGTGAGACGGATGTGGGCAGAAATCTGGGAGAGTGATCTCTTGTGACCTGTGGAACCATGAGTTGACTTTTGGAAGGAACATTGGGTCCAAACGTAAGATGACCATGCTCGGATTGGGAGATGCATAGGTCGTCCCGGACGGAGAGTGCTGCCAATTCGGTCACACGTCTAGCCGATGTGATGGCTACTAAAAAGATGGTCTTAAGAGTCAGTAACCAGAGGGACATGGTCCAAATAGGCTCAAATGGAGCAGCTGTGAGGGCCTTGAGAACCAGGGAAAGGTCCCATGTGGGGTAACGATGGACCATGGGTGGGCTTAGGTTCGATGCACCTTTCAGGAAGGCCCGCATCCCTGGGTGTTGTGACAGGGAGTGATCCCGCCCACCACCAATCACGGTAGATGAAGCCGTGATCTGGCGGTGGAGGGTGTTAGATGTTAAGCCCCTGTCCATGCCCATCTGTAGAAAATCTAATACCTGTGGTATGGTCGCCTTGGTTGGATCTGTATCTGTAGCTCGACCCCACTTGCAGAAGGCACACCAGGAGGCCTCATAGATACGGGTCGTCGTCGGGCAACAAGCTGCCTGGATCGTGGAAATGACCATGTCAGAGAAATGCTGTTGACTCAGGATTGCCCGCTCACATGCCACGCGGCTAATTGTATTAGTTGTGGGTTCAGATGAATGAGGGCCCTTTGCGAGAGGAATATCCAATCGTCCAGGATCCTCCATGGGCACGAGAGTGACAGATGGACAAGGTCGGCATACCAGGGATGCCTCGGCCACATTGGTGCGACCAGAAGTACCCCCGCCCGTCCCCCTAGAATCTTCTGGATGACTAGCAGTACAATTGGTAGGGGCGGGAAGACATAAAGGAGGCCCTCTGGCCAAGGACTGCGAAGGGCGTTGGTGGCTTCTCCCCCGGTACCTAAAACTGGTGTAGAATCGCGTCAGGTCTATGTTGTCGGGTTGAGTGAACAAATCCACCTATGGTTGACCGAAGCCGTTGAAGAGCTCTTGGAACAGGGCTGGGTGTAACCACCACTTTGCCTGATCCATCGTGGCCCTGCTCAACCAATCTGCTTGGACGTTTGTGGTGCCCGATATATGCTCCGCTCGGATTGACAACAGATGGTTCTCCGCCCAGTGGTGTAGACGTTCTGCTTCCATCATCAGAGATTTGGATCGCATGCCCTCCTGGCGGTTGATATGCACCTTGGAGGCCACATTGTCGGTGAGTATCAACACATGGTTGGATGTGACCAGGTCTCGAAACTCACGGAGGGCTAGGCGGATAGCTCGTAGCTCCAGCCAATTGATGCTGTTCCGCAGCTCCCAGGCAGTCCAACGACCTTGTGCCACTCGATCCAGGACGTGGGCTCCCTACCAGAATTGGCTCGCATCTGTTGTAACTATGTTCCGCTCCGGTTCCTTGAAGAGGCATCCCTTGAGGATTCGGGACGACATCCACCAACGGAGGAACAGGGACACCTTGGTCAGTAAGCGAGTTCTGGTCTGAGAATGACTGGTATGGGCCCTCTGAAAGGGGAGGAGAAACCACTGGAGTGGTCGCACAAGGAACCTCACTCAAGGGACAATGTCTATGCAAGATATTTGAATTGAATTGAATTTATTGCATTTATATGCTGCCCTTTTCCCCAAAGGGGACTCAGGGCGGCTCACAATCCAAGTCAGATATAATCTTCCCCAGAAGTTGGACAATACTGCGAGGAAAGGTGACCTCTGATTGGACACTTGACTCACCAGGGACTGTAGATTTCATTGCCTCTCCTGAGAGAGGGACACAACACACGTTTCCAAATCGATGACCGACCGAGATGCAGAAGAGACGTGGTCGGGTACAGGTGGCTCTTTGGGAAGTTCAGTACAAAGCCATGATCTTGTAAGGTTGTCAGCATCCCTCCATTATATAATTAGGAAAGAAANGGGTGAATCTGAAAACCTTTTAGTGACACGAATGAGGGAGGGATCCAGTATTATTGCCAGGACCCTCCAGTTGGTTAGAGGTAAACAGTGAAGGGCCTCACCTGGCCAAACCTGGTGGAAAAACTCTCTCCAAGGCCAAATGACCTAAACCTTAGCCGCCCCGTTTTCTCAGAAGAAGGAGCAGGGTGGCAAACAGAATGGGCCTTTACCTGGAGACTCTAATAGGTGCCTCTGAGGCCACAGCTCCTTTCCAGGCCACCTTTCTCAGAAGGCAGGTGGCAAGAATCTACACAATACTATTGTGTAGGGACACAATACTATTGGCCAATTGGAGACTGGAGAGAAGCACCTAGAAGAACTTTTCAAGAAGATTTGACTTTGGGAGAATTTAAATTTTGGAAAACAAGAGATTTCAAATGGCAAAAGAAATGCCAAGCAATCCCAGATATTCTGCCAAGAACCTTCCAGTTCATTAGAATTAGTATATTTAAATAGATCAATTTTTGGAATCTTAAGCATTCCCTCATCTGCCCCAAAGGAATTGGATTGTGCGGGGAGAGGGGATTATTTGGAGCAATTCTGACGAGGCTGCCACTGCGTTCCCTAGAAGCTCTACCAAATTCATTCCAAAACATAACTGTTTTCGGAGTTCCCCAAAGTGCCAGGTTTTAGCGATCTGTCCACTATGGGTGGCCCTGGCAGTCCACTTCCTCCAGCGGGGCTCAAAGGTTGACCAGCAGACATAAGAGTTTGGGGGTCGGTGGGGGGCTTAAGCACGCCAGGTATTAAGGGACCCTCCGAGGTGCCTAGAGTTGCTGTCCCAAATTGCTGCACCACTCTCAGGCGCTCCTTCTCAAGCTCCTGGCGCCTGATCATGTCTTCAAAGGCATGGAACTGCTCCTGCTCGGCCTGCTGCTGCTTCATGCGGGCCACTCTCTGCCTCTCCTCCTCCAGCTGCTGCTGTAGGGCCAAGGTGCGAGCAAACGCCTCCTCTTGCTTCTTCTGGAATGGGAAGGAGAAGAGTCAGCAGGTCAAGTGGGAAATGACAGGGGGAGCAACTCTCTTTGGACATCTCCTTCCCTTGTCTGGCCTGCAGCCATCTTTTCTTTTGGATCTTTGGCCTGCCACACTTTCTATTCTTCTACTATGCATTTTCTATGGTGGGAAAATGGGAGGGGGAAATGTACGGAGTTAGATGCTAGATAGCCATAACAAAATTCTTTCTAGAAGGCAAGGTCATCCTTTGTCTTTGCACCTCTGCACCTGATCGGAACTGGATGGGTGGAACTGCCAGCATGTCAGTGGAAGATTGGACCATGGGATGGGCTTGTGGGTGTTGGGGGCANAAGCCACTCCCACAAAGGAGGCCACACCCACAGAGTAGGTTCCAACAATTTTTGAAACCCACCACTGGTATTTTCGCTTCTCATAATAGCTCATTAAAAACTTCCAGCATTAAATTACCTATGGTGTCTTGTAGTGTTTTGTATAGTTCTGCTAGTAATCCACCCAGACCTGGTGTTTTGCCACTCTTTTGTCTTTTAAGTGCTTCTGTTAATTCCATCATTGTTATTCTCTCTTCTAATGCCCTTTTAACTGTTTCTGGTATTGTGGATAATTCTTTTTCTAAATATTGTTTTATTTTTTCTTCTGGTATTATCTCTTGCTTGTATAATTTTTCATAATAATCATGTATTATTTTATTTTTGTCATCATTCCGATAGTAGGATATTCCTTCCTCATCCATTAACTGGTAAATCATTTTCTTTTCTTTCTCTTTTTTCAATCTATATACCAGCCATCTTCCAGGTTTGTTAGCGTTTAAAAAAAATTGTTTCAAATTTTAAATCTTTTGCACTAGTTCTTCTTTGTCTAGTAAATTCAACTTATGTTTTTAAGGTCCATTTGATTTTTTATGTTCTTTTTTATGTATCTTTTTGTAATTCCATGTCTTAACTTCTTATATTCCTCTTCTAGTTTCTTTTGTGTTTGTCTCTTTTTTATTTCTCTTTCCCACGTACATTATAGTTAATCCTCTAATGTATGCCTTTGCTGTATCCCATACATTCTGCAGTGAGGTTTCCCTCTTTTGTGTTCTCCTTCAAGAAGGCCAGTTCTCTTTCCATAAATTGTATAAATTCCTTTTCTTTCAACATTGTTTGATTCATCGTCCATCTTAACTTCTTTTTTTGTCCCTTCCATAGAACTTTCACTGGGTTGTGGTCCGCCCAAATACTCGTTTCAATATTTATTTCTTGTATATTGTGTATTAGCTCAGTTGACAACCACATCATATCAATTCTAGACCAGGGCATATGTCTACTTTAGAATGTATATTGGTCTTTCTTTGGGTAGATTCCTCGCCAAGCATCTTGAATACCTATCGTATTTTTCAGAGTACAAGTCGCACCTGCATCTTATACACTGAATACAGCATTTTTTGCCTCCTGAAACCCCGCCCCCTTCACCAAAGTGGCTGTGCATTGCCTTTAGGAGGCTTATAGAGTGCTCCTGGGGGCTGGGGAGGGCAGAAATGAGCAAAAAATGGGCCGTTTTTTGCTCAATTTTGCCTCCCTCCAGTCCCCAGGAGCTCTCTATAAGCCTCCTAAAGCCTATTCATGCCCTTTTAAAAAAAGGTGGTTTTTTGGAGGTCTGCAGAGTGCAAAACCTTTTTTTTTAATTTGCCTCTTCAAAATCTTGATGCATCTTATACTCCGAAAAATACAGTAAATCTTCCACCATTTAAAAAAAGATTTTTGGAAGTGTTTTCCTTGCTTCTTAAATTTTTTTGCTAGATTTATAGTCCAATTCTGTATCTGTATTGCATTAAAATCTCCTAAAATGCATATATGTTCATGCTCCAGGTCTATTATTTTCTTGTGAAGTCTACCATAAAACTCCTCTTGATTATTATTTGGTGCATATATTGCAACTAAAAGTATTTGTTCATTGTTCATTGTTAACTCCACCATTAAAATCCTCCCTTCCTCATCTAGAAATATTTGTTTGGCTTTTATTGTCTCTTTGATGTAAAGCACCACACACCCCTTACTTTGTTGCAGGAGGGAAGTGTATAACTTTCCAATTTTCAGATATTCCAGCATTTTTATGTTGTTTTTTAATATGTACTTCCTGTATGCAAATTATGTCCATGTCAGATTTCCAAAAAATGCCCTAATTGATTCATGAGCCTCGGACCAAACTTCAAAGGAAAATTAGTCATTTATTAGGAGCATTTATTTTTGGTAAGATCTTTTCGCAGTCAGACCTAAGCTTTGTTTGAGTTACAGCTGAACTTTACCCCTGTTCCTTCCCTCCCCTCAGTCTGTGTCATAAATCACATTCCCCAATGAGGTGCACCCCTCCCAAGTCTGCTGCAGTAATCTGAGCCAAAACTATGCATGGAATGCGCTCCCCCTCCTTCTCTCACCATGACAACTCTGGGAGTTGACATTCGGCTCTCCTCACTTTCCAAAAGCAACCTGTGCAAAGTAAAAAAAAAATTGAGTACAAGTATAGAATTTAAGGCTACGTCCTTCCCCTTGTTTGGATTTTCTGTATGGAATTTTTCTATAAGGCAATCAACCTGGATACCCAAGATGCCTCTGAAAAGGGGTAGCCCTTCCATTTGATTAAGTACAGGAGTTGTCTCCTATGCCACCTCAAATAAAGGATTTGTTGCACCTCATAATGGGTTTGGCCCCCTATGACCACAGGGCCTGGGGGCTCCAGGGGTAGTGGTCTCAGAGTGGATCCGACCACGGGTTTTAAGAGGCTACTATGGAATACCGGTATCTTCCCTAGCACTCGAGGCAGTTTCAATTGCACTGTGACTTGGTTGATGATCTTTACTATGGGGAATGGTCCCATAAACTTTGGCCCCAGTTTCTTGCTAGAGAGTCTTAACCTCAAATATTTTATGGAGAGGTAAACCTTCTGTCAGCATCCCTGGACCAACGGCCTCGACATTCCATCTTCGTGATGTCTTTTGAAGTTATCTCACACCTGACACTTGAAGGACTTATGATTGGCCTGAGGCTATGATCCCAAGGGGTGGGGAATGGACTATTCTATATATCAATTGCTTTCGCACCTAATTAAACAGACTTCGCTTCTTGTCAGCATCCCTCCATTATATAATTAGGAAAGAAAGACCAAGAGATTCCAGGTATTGGAAATCAAAAGTACTTTTACTAATTACAAATGGTTAGCGAGCAGTTGCGAAGCGAAGTCTGTTTAATTAGGCGCGAAAGCAATTGATATATAGAATAGTCCATTCCCCACCCCTTGGGATCATAGCCTCAGGCCAATCATAAGTCCTTCAAGTGTCAGGTGTGAGATAACTTCAAAAGACATCACGAAGATGGAATGTCGAGGCCGTTGGTCCAGGCGGGAAGCACTCACGCATGCGTAATCCAACCATCTGGTAAATACTAGAACATTCCTCCAGCACATCGAATAACCCCTCCCAAATACCAACCCTCCCTCCCCATTTCATGACAGCTGAAGCAACAGCAAGGCAGAAGCTGACACCTTCTCTCCCACCAGGAATGGTCGTTGCAGAGTTCGGCGTTTGTCTGTCTGTTTCTTATAGGTTTGTGCCACTTTAGCCACTGCTTTTTTAACATTCTCCCAGGTTGTTTTTAGCATTGACATCCAATCAGTCAAGCTGACTGAGGAGGGGGGATCCCTTGGATACTCGGGCATTGGGACGAAGTCCATGCCGCTCACAACTTTGAACGGTGTTAGCATTGAACAGCATTATTGTACGTGACCTCAGCAAAAGACAGAAGGTCTGCCCAATTGGATTGCTGATAGTTCACGTAGTACCTCAGGTATTGCTCTACCAGTCTCTCTGCCCCCCCATTGGTGCTCAGGTGAAAAGCTGAGCTAAGGCCCTGGGATGACCCAATGGACCGCAGGAACTCCCTCCAGAACTTAGCCATGAACTGGACCCCTCTGTCTGAGATAATTCTTCAAGGTACAGAGGTACAGGCAGTAGATGTGCTTCAGGAATAGTTTGGCCACCTGGTGAGCTGAGGGTAGTCCGCTGCAGGGTATGAATTGTGCCTGTTTGGAGAACAGGTCTATTACAGTCTAAATCACCGTGTCCCCCCCACTTTTTGGCAACTCTACTATAAAGTCCATTGAGATCTCTTCCCATGGCCTCGTTGGCTCTGCTACTGCTTGCAGCAGTCCAGGGGGATTTCCTGGTCGTCTCTTCATTGTGGCACAGATGGTGCAACTTTTCACATAACTGTCCACATCTTTCTTTATGCCGGGCCACCAGAACTGTCTCTGGGCTAAGTGTAAAGTCTTTAGGAACCCAAAGTGGCCTATCGGTTTGGCGTCGTGGCTCCTCTGGAGAATTAGGGTGCGTAGGGATTCTGGGACATAGAGTTTTGTCCCCTTCCATGCGAGGTCATCTCTTTTTGTCACGATGTGTTGGTTGGTTTGGAACGAGGGGACTGCTAGCAGTTCAGTTTTGAGTCTCGTGGTTAGGTTGCTTGCTGGTTGTTCGTGCCGGTCACGGCATTGTTGTCTGGTGGTCACTTGGGCAGCTATTTGAGTAGGGGGAATGATGGTGTCCACCACCTGCTCCCATTCACATTTGTACTGGGGCATGTGGGAGAGGCCATCAGCTAGAAAGTTCCTCCCCCCTGGAATGTGCTTTAGTACAAAGTCGAAACGGTTGAAGTATTGAGCCCATCGGACTTGTTTGGGTGATAGTTTCCATGGGGTCCTGAGAGCCTCCAGATTTTTGTGGTCAGTCCAGACTTTGAACGGTTTCTGGCCCCCTTCCAACAGGTGTCTCCAGGTTAGCAGTGCCCATCTCACTGCGAAAGCCTCCTTTTCCCTTTCGGCCCATCATCTCTCTGTGTCTGTGAGCTTGCGGGAGGTGTAGGCGCACGGCTGTAAATTTCCTTGGCTGTTTCTTTGGAGTAGCACTGCTCCCACTGCCATGTCGCTGGCGTCTGCTTGGATCACGAAGGGTTGCTCGAGGTCAGGATGCTTCAGCACCAGTTCATATGCAAACATTCCTTTTAGTGTTTCAAATGCCTTTTGGCAGGTTAGGTCCCACTGTAGAGGTTGTCCTGGGTGAAATTTTGTTCCTGGGCTCCCTGTCTTGAGGAGGTCTATCATGGGTTTGGCAATCTTCGTGAAGGAGGGGATGAATTGCCTATAGAAGTTCGCGAACCCTAGGAAGCTTTGTAGCTGTCTGTGGGTGCGAGGGGGTTGCCAGCCTAGGACGGCTTGTACTTTGGCTGGGTCCATCTCTATTTCCTCATTTGACACTCGGTAACCCAGGTAGTCTAACCGTGCATGGTGGAATTCGCATTTTGATACCTTGAAGTACAGGTTGGCTGCCATAAGTTTTTCCAGTACCTGTCGGACCAGGGGTATGTGGTCGTTCATAGTCTCTGTGTAGATGAGGATGTCAATCAGGTAGATGAGGAGCCCCTTGTAGAGGTGCTCATGCAGCACGTCTATTAACTGCATGAACACTGCTGGGGCTCCCTGCAGTCTGAAAGGCATCACTTCCCCAATGAGGTGGCATCACATTCCCCAATGAGGTGCACCCCTCCCAAGCCTGCTGCAGTAATTTAAGCCGTAAGTATGCATGGAATGAGCTCCCTTTCCTTCTCTCACCATAACAACTTTGGGAGTTGACTGTCCAATTTTAATTTTTCTAATTTATTAAAGGTTCTTTTTCTTTTTATAGCTGAATTCAGTCCATTTATATTAATTGAAAATAACTATTTTTTTCTTCCATATTGTTTACTCATAAATGGGTTTTGTTGCCCTAGTCGCTCTTTCTTGCTTCTCTTGGTCTTGCTCCTTCTCTTGTTGCTCTTTCCTCCAGTTCTCTTACATCCTCCTTTTGTAGCGTGTCTCTTCCATTGGTGATTTCCTCCTGCCGTCTAATCTCTCTTTCCTCTCTCAGCCTCTCTTCCTCTACTGGTCCAAAGTACGGATGGTAAAATTGTTCTGCCTTCTCTATTGAATCCAGTCTGTGTCTTTATTCATGCCAAGTCACCAAAATTCCTTCTGGTATCAGCCATTTAAAGTTCACTCCTTTTTTGATTAAACACTTTGTCAAAAATGGTATTCTCTTAAATCTCTAACTCTTCTCAGGATTTGTTTCAACACTACTATTTCTTTCCCTTTGTATTTCAAAGGGTTGTCTCTCGTTCTCTGCAAAATTTCTGTTTTTATTGCTTTCTTCGTGAACCTAACATGAACCTCTCTAGGAAGTTTATTTCTTATCACATATCTCGTGTGAACTCTAAAGCTTTCATCAATGTCAGCCAAACTTTTTCCTTATGTTCTTCCATTGCATCTGCCAACATGTCTGCCATTATCTCTGCCAAATTTTCTCCCTTTTCTTCCTCCATATTCTGGAATCTCAAATAATAATCAGCTCTATCCATTTCTAAGCACATTATTGTCTTTTTCTTTACTTTGATCTGCTGTTGTGAGTCTGTAATCAAGTTCTCCCACTCTTTTTTCTGTCATTTTAGCTTTTTCTTCTATTTTTTGTATGCGTTGTTCATTTTTCTCCATTATTTGCTGTAAGTTCTCTAGTTTATTCTCTACTTTTTCAATTTTCTCTTCAATCCTCTCTTCTACTTTCCCTATTCTTTCCTTCAGATCCTCATGGAAGATTTGTATCATAGCTTTTATTTCTGCTTGTGCTTGTGCAGAGTTAGTCTTTTCTTGTTGAAGGATGGCCTCCATCGTTCTTTTGCCAGTGGGGCTGGAGGCCATGGAAGCAGGTGCTGACAATGATGTTGATGTTGTTTTCTTCATATTTAAAAATCTTGATATTTATAATCCACCAGTTATATAATTAAATTGTAATCCCTGAGAAGGGTAAAATTGTTACTTATAATCCAACTCCAATTCCTTAAGCTGCTTCTTATCTTCAGGTTTTTCAAACCCTAATCCAAATATATCCCTGGAGCCAAGTCTTGCAGAGTTACAATTTATAATCCAAATGGCCCACCATGCACCCAAAATTGCATCCACCAGTTATTTTTATATAGGAAAAGAAAAAAAATTGAATACCCAGAGCAGCAGTAAAAATTATCACTAGTAGTGAAAACAAAACACAAAAACAGCAGAAGAGCAAAAGAGCAAAAAAGAAAAAAAAATTGTAATCCAAGTCAGCCCACCAGGTGTCCCCCACCTAAAAAGAAAAAAAGAAAAAACAATCTTCAAGTTATATCCAGCAGGAAAGATTCACAGAGCCAAACAAAAAAAGAAAAAGAAAAACTAAGAAGAAATAGATAGCAGCCTTATTCCACAATTCAGGGGAGTGCCTTCCAGGGCTTTATTTTCTTTTTATATTTTCGCTTTTAAGTTCCAAGAGCTACACTATTCAACAAAGGGGAAAAAACAGTGTTCTGCTCTCTCTTTTTCTTCAGTCAAAACAACTTATTATCACTTAAATTCCCATGCTCTGAAATTTGCTTCTCTTAGCTTTTTAATCTTCCACTTTTGCCTCTAGATGGCACAATTACTCTGTTCTTTTCTTTCTTCTATTCATGTATTTCACAAATCCATTTTAAAATGCCATATTTCTTACAATAATAAAGTTCCTTTAAAGTTATTTCATGGAAAAATAAAGTTCATTTAGTCCCAATAGTCAATCACTGATTTCTAATTTAATGTTTAAGATATCCAGCCCAGGTTTCTGGTTTTAATCCTCAGGCATATCCTTATAGCCAATTTACTTTTACACTGTCTCTTTAAGAGAAAATAAGCCTTCCTCGCAGCTTTTCTCCCCGAGGTGAGAGGGGAAAACTCCCACCGCCTCTTTTCAAGTCTCACACTCTTTTAATTATCCCAAAGGAGTCTTCTTTTAAAAAAGGATTTAATAGGTCGTATTTGCAAATATTTCATCCAAGACTATCACACTTCCATCTTCACGCTTTGTGTGGCAGCCCCAGCTTCACAGCAGCTCACAATGACAGTTGCCAGTTTGGGAAGCTATTTCTGCTTCAATCAGGGAGTTTGCGGACTCCCTGAGATCAGCAGGATGCGCCCCCCCTTGCTTATCGCCTCTACAGGGCGATTTCAGGTCAATTGAGACCTCCTAGCAGCTGGGATATCGACGATCCCAAGGAGCTTCTCCTGGGACATGTCGCCTCGCTTGCGATGTCAGCCACGCCACTAATATACTACAATTTTAAAATTAGAGAATTAATATTAATGTGAATGATGTTGTAAATGCTGAAAGCTGATGCACAGAGTTATTTGTACCCAGACGACACACTGTTTAAGGAAAGATGAAATGTTTGTATGTTGAAAAATAAACAACTTTTTTAAAAAAAGAACCAGTTGATTTTTACTATGTCCTGATATGTAAAACCACAGAACTCAAAGGGTGATCTTTCTTTTTCACATGACTGTACCTTTTAAAGATTGAGAAAAATAAACCTATTCAGGTTTCCTTCACTTTAGTATTAAATACCCTGCATCTCAAGAATTTAAGAATTACAAAGTTTGTGGTTTTTATTTTATTTTAGCGATTCACTCAGGCTGTATGAACTTTAACAAAAAGAAACTTTCCATTCTTGAGAGAAAATTAAAAAGAAATTCATTCCATCAACAAGTCAGTGGACTCATGGACACTACAGCAACTTAGTTCAGGTAAGGTTTGAAAGGTGAACGTAACAGTATGAGGCTTTTCACAGGAAACAGCTTACTCTTGGAAGAATGTAGCATCCTGCCTTTTCACGTAAAGGAACTATAAGAAGGGTGAAAATATCCCAAGACTTATATAACATAAACAAAATTCTCCTAATTAAGTATAAAAGGCATGTAGGCACAATCTCACAATTCTTAAAATTCAGCAGGCAAGGGGAAAGCATGCATGGACTTTGCCATACTGAGATTAGATCTACATGAGCTGCAGAATGAGCTGGCTGGGTGACTGAAGGTGTTGACCTGCAGTTTTCAAATGTTCTTTCCATATAGGCGCAGTCTTGGCTTTAGAAAAAAAATGAATACAGCCAAGGGTGGGCTGGACTAGTATGTCTTTCCACAATATTAATTTTCTACATGCAGGTGGGCAAATTTCTGTCTCTTGGTCCACATGTGCATTTCTCCACCTGCTATCTCATTCTAAGACCTCATTCTGCAACATGGATAGACCAGGACACCAATTCACCTGATCCAGATCTTCAGTGGGCTGTCAGAAGTAATGGCTCAGGTCTTGCAAACACATTCATGTTTTCAATTTGTTTCAAAGAATCTTTCCTTTTCCTCCTTCCCCTATCTCAATGTAGCAAAACTCACCATATCAAACCCAAATCAGTAGATTTTGGGGGATGGAATGATGTCACAAAAGAAGGATAAATAATTCTCACTCTAAAGCCCCTGAGGGGAAAGAAAGAAGCAGCAGCCTGGTAAGCAAAAGGGGGAAAGTTATCAACAATATACCATTTTTATGGTAAGTAGTCAATGGTCTGCCCATCAAACTAGTTGCTCTAAGTTCAAGAGAATAAGATGGTAACCCCTCCCCATGCCACCTCTTCAGTTATTTTAGTAAGGTACCCCTCTTCCTCCTCTGGGAGGTACTCTATTCTGCCCACGAAAAGCTTTCCCATAAGCAGTGGACTGGATTGGGTTTCCCCACCTGTGACTTGTACCTGTGTTGCTCAAATGAGCCTTTGTTACTCCCACCTCATTGTTGTTATGAATTTTGGCCTCTGAGTGTACCAATGTATTATTACTCCCTTCAATTTTGATGAAGGACTGCCCAACAACAGAATGTATCCCCAAGGGGACTCGGGTGAAACGGAGGTCCTGGTCACCAGGGAACTGAATTGATTCTGCACTCTGATAGCTGCTGGACTCTCTGATGTGACTTGTGAAACTCAGGAAGGTCCTACTTTTCCCCATGGGTGATGATGATGTCTCTGTTACAGTCTGGTTGAAATTTCCTTCATCAACATCAAAGTTGCAGCTCTCAGGCCCGGTGGTGGTATAAGTCCTGGATGACGTTTGTGACCTGGTGTATTCCAAGGAGGCCCTCGCAACTTGGGGTTCCTGTTTTGG